AAAAAAAAAAAAAAAAAAACAAAAAAAAACCTAAATAAACCAGGCACATGGTACTCTCCTGCAATCTCAGCACTGAGGGAGACTGAGGCAGGAGAATCACAAGTTCACGGCCAGCCTCAGCAGCTCTGAGAACATGTTTTAAAACATAAAAAGGGTTGAGAATGTATCTTAGTTGTAGAGCACCTCTGCGTTCAATACTCAATCCTCAGTACAGTAAATAATAAAGTAATGCTAACTATGCACCTACTGTAGCATGTACCTGTAGCCCCAGCTACTTAGTTATCTGGGGCAGGAAGATGGGGTGAGCCTGGGAATTGCTTGGGCAACATAGTAAGATCCCATCTCAAATAATAATGATAATTATAATAGTGGTGCTAACTAAAAGAAGTAATTCCCATCAAGTGTAAAGATTGGTCCCTCTCCAATGACCCCTGCTTGGGTCTTTTCCTTTGCTGTTCCCCCAGGAGAGACATCCTTCCTCCATCATGCCTGACCAATTTTTCCTTGTTCTATAAACCTCATCCTTCCTTAAACTCCTCAGCCTGGGTTAAGCCCAAGGCAACACCAAAGACTTCCTAGCTGCCCACTGGGAAGTGATGACATTGCACACTCAAGTGCTGGGCCCAGATTTGAGTGCCTTACCAGGTGGGGGTTCCCCAAGGACAGGGACCATAGGCATCATGGCTCCAGCACTGAAGGTCCCACACAAAGTGAGTTCAGAAAATGCTTGCTAGGGCTGGGGATTAACTCAGTGGTTCCGGCAGCTGCTTCACAAATGCAAGGACCCGAGTTCAATCCCCAGTACCCCCCTACAAAAAAATGCTTGCTAAACAAATGGTAGATCAGAACAAAAACAGTAGGAACCTCCATGGTTGTCATTGCAGTAGTGGTACAAATACCACTATCAATACTGTAGTGGTGATGATGACAAGCTGGAATCCCAGGACATCTTTAGTCTTTGTTTTTCCAGTACTGGGGAGCTAGGCAAGTCCTCTGCCACTGAGCTACATCCCTAGCTCTTTTGTTTATTTATTTATTGTTTAAACAGGGTCTTACTAAGTTGCTCAGTTGCCCAGGTTGACCTAGAATTTGTGATCCTCCTTTCTCAGCCTCCTGAGTATGCCACCATGTCTGGTTTCCAGAGAGGCATCTTACGTGACAGACCCATAGGTGCCCTATAAGCTCAACACCTGGTTGGTGATGCTGGGAGGAAGTTGAGCCCTGGCTTGCCATTTAGTTGCAGTATGATCCTTGGCGAACAGGTAAGTGACCCTGGGCCTCAGGGGTTGTCAGAGGACATATGACTGGCAGCTCTTCCACAACTGGAGGAGCTCAGGACACCCTAAAGAGGACACAGTGGAACACTTACCAGCAGGTGCTTCTCCTCAAACTTGGCGATCCTGAGTTTTCCTTGCTCCTGGTTTTCCTTGATGGCCTCCTGGACACACTCATTGAAGGTATCCAGCTCCAGTTTCCGTTTCTCCTGCTGTTTTAGGCCATACTCGAAAATATTCAGGCAGATGATGACAAATTTTTCCTTGTAGGTAAGTGGCTGTTAAGGAAGCTTGAGGATGTCTCTGGAGTAGGCCAGTGTGTGGGGGTGAGGGACAAGACAAAGCGTTGGTGGGCTGTGTGCTGAACCCTAATGCACAGGACTTGAACCCATGCTTCCACATGGACCATTTGACAGATGAAGCAACTGAGGCCCAGAGAGCCAGAATTTGAGGAAGGCAGAGGCACCACTGAGCTAAATCCCTGACCACTAGAGAGCCAGGATTTGAAATTTAAAGCATAGCATAGGGATTGGGTCATTGTACCATCAACACGAGGAATTTAGCATGAGGCTGAAGGGCCCCAGAAGAAACCTGGAGGACCTTGAGTCAGGGAGGGGCCGGGGCCAGCAGTGGCCAGGGAAAATGGCAGTGTGCTTTTGTCTCCAGTGAGTTATTCAGGAAGGCACATGTGGTGAGGGCCTGTGTTGGTGTTAGCTGAGCTGAGGAGGGGGCACCACAGGGTCAAAGTGGATGATGCAGGTTCAAGTCCTGGCTCTGCTACTGCTTCTGGGATCCATGCTGGCAAGTCACTGCTCCATGCCGGGCCTTAATTTCTTCACTAGCAGTGGAGAGAGCACAGAAGACCCAATCTCATGGTGTCCTTAGGAAGTCTTTGGGGTAAGGCCAGTAAAGCCTACAGGACCTTGGGTGGTTGTGTTGGGATGGAAATGATTTGTCCAGAGTCACAAGGCCACATGCTATAGAGCCAGATGTACACTGCTTGGAGTGGGGCGTGACCAGGCCAGGTAGGAGCCTGTCCATCTGACCTGGAGTCCCGTTCTTTATTGTCCTTTACCACACCACTTCATTCTCTTCAGAATGTCAGCATTTTGAGTAGATTTCTGCCCTGTAGGAAAACTGTCAGATTCAAAAAAGACTTACGTGGGCCAAACCCTGGCCAAGAGGAAGCAAGGAAGGTCACAGAGGGAGGGGCTCACAGATATGTTAACTTTATCACAGGATGCCCAGCAATGCGCAAAGTTATACGTGTCTGCCACAATCTCAAAAGCCTGATTCAGCAAAACAGCTGGCTCTGACTTTAAGGACAAGTTTCACCTAGTGACTACGGCACCACCGAGAACACTGAAAACTGAGCCGCAACTCTTTCCCAGCCACACCCAGCCTTTCTTTTGTTCGCCAGATGGATCCTGGGCCAAACTGTTTTATGTGTGGATCCCAAAGTGTAACTTTACTTTCACATTTTATTCCCAAATAACAGTTCCTTTATTGGAGATTTGCCTCTGTAGTTTCCTGGATGTTGATATCAGTGACAGGGGTTCCACAGCCTCATCTGGGGCTGTTTATCTCAGCTCAGAGCCTCTCACAACTACCCTGATCCTCAGTTTACAATTTAAACCTGTGGTTGGGTCATCATGGCCACTGTCCCCATCACAAATGCTGATCACATCCTCTGGGCTTTGCCCCCCGAGGAAGGAATGCAGGCTCTCAGGCCCAACTTGTGAGGGTCCAAATCCTGGTGCTTTTTTATTTTTCTAGCACTGAGGATCAAAGTGAGGGATGCTCTACCACGGGGCTACATCCCCAGCTCCCCTCCCTTTATGGTCTTGCTAAATTGCCTAGGTGAGGCTCCAAGTTCTGATCCTCCTGCCTCAGCCTCCCTCAGTGCTCAGATTATAGCTACGTGTCACTGAGCTGGCTCTAAATCCTACTTTCTAATGCAGACAAGCCACTTAACCTCTCCAAGTTTAGTTTCCCTAGCTATATAAGGGGTTAATAACAGCACTCATCTAGTGGGGTGCTGGAGAAAATTATGAGCACTATACGCAGATGCATAGTAGGAACAAATAAATATGGCTAATAGGGATCTCATGCTACAGACATACATTTCAATCTCTCCAGCTCTGAAAACCCAGCTTGCTAGGCATGGTAGATCCATACCATGCCAGTCTCCATATGTCCCCTGAAATCTTGATGGCATTCCCCTATGCAGCTCAAATGACCTAGGTGGCATTGCCTTTCAAGTACTTCCCAGAGTCTCAAATGAGACATGACGACACTGAATCCCAGAGCAGAAGAAAGGTGAAGGTGCTGGGGCAGGTGGGTACTGCTGATCAGGCTCATGACAGAGAGGCACCTGGGAGGCAGGAAGGATATGCTTTGAGGAGCTCGCCCACAGTGGGCAGACAGGACAGCTTGCTGCCCTCCACATCTTCAGCATACATGCTGTCAAATAGGAAGGAACTGTTCAGGTGTTCAACAAACGCCATCTGTGGGTAGGAACACACTGGGCATGGTGATCCCAAGCTGCCCCTCTAAGTGCACACTGGGCACTGGGGCCAGTGAAGACTTCCTAGAGAAGGGGATGCTGTACTTGGGCTACAGCCTCCTCCCAGGGAGGCAGATGTGTGGGTTACTCAGAGGAGGGCACGTGTGCAGGTGCAGAGGACACGGTTGCAAGCTGTTTCTGGAAAGCTATGCTTACATTGAGCTAAGGGACTTCAATTGTACCTGCAAGCCATAGGGAAACCACCTAAGGATCTTAAGAAAAGGAGCTGTTAAGACAGACTGTTTTTAGTATAATCTCTAGAGGCTCCAGTGAGCTGGGCTGGTCTGAGATGGAGCTAACTGTCACGGGGGTGGGGGCATGCAGGGAAGAACCTAGTGAAAGGCGGGTGTCAGCCCCTGGGCATGGAGCATGATTCTCATAATTTGGGGCCTGAGGATCTCTGAATACCTCCACTGAACATGATCAGTGTGTGCTCATCAGCATTTCTGAACCAGGCTGAGGTGTGACCCTTCCCCCAGCGGTACCTTGTATTCTTCCAGTTTCGCCCGCTGGGCCTGTTCCTCCTCCAGCTGGACCTCCCTCAGGTGCTCCCGGTGCTTCAGCTCATCAATGCTGTACTGGTACTTCAGTTCTGCCAGCTCTTTCTGACCAGGGAATAGGAAGTCGGCATCGTAATTAGGACATTTAGTCCTTCTGAGCCACAGTGACCAGTGCCATCTTACGGCTTCCCAAGAATGAGCTAGAGGGTCCCTTTCACAGAATCTGGGAAAGCTGGGAGTCATTGGATGAGACTGCCAGATATCATAAGTCCAAGGGAAATCAAAGAACTGGGAATTCCTGGATCTTGCTGGGAGGTTACCGGGAGCCTGCCTTCAGCCCCTGGTCAGCTGGAACTGCTCCTGGCAGGTCCCGTGAGCCCTGGAAGATGTCCTCCTGCCTGAGTCCCACAGCAGTAAGAGAAGCCCAGGTCTTGGGGCAGGCTGTGGCTGGCCCATGTCAAATATTAATGTGGATAGGGTGTTTCAGGTATTCCTGCTTGTGGAACTGTGCTTTTCAGAGCTTTTGCTTATTATTTAGCTTGACGATTCTACACAGGTGCCGAATCATGAAGGAACCTTGCTTCCTGAGCAAATGGGGATGCCCAGGCTGCATTATTCATCCTTGGTGTACATATCTGAGGATACTTTGTTTTGTTACTGCACAGCGTTAAGCTGTGCTGTCTTTTTATAATGGGAAAACATATTCAAAAGGCCTTTGGCCTATTCTATGCATTTACAATTACTGCTTACATGAGAAAATTAAAAACTGAGAGTTTTTATAAGTACCATGTACTAACCAATTGCATCACTAGAGCTCCTGAAAAATTAAGAGTTTTAGAATTCAAACTCTTGATTTTTTTGACTGTTCAAAGAGAAAGTCCACAGTCAGTAGAGTCGGAGAGCAACTCTCTGACCCCATGTCGTCTCTGTAAACCTTGAAAGAAGGTGAAGGATTGAGACTGTGGGCCAGCTCTCCTCCCTGCTGTGGATGGCCTCTCTGGGGTTCCCCCTACATCACCTCAGTGCCCTGAACACGGGGCCTTCTCTCCAAGTAAAAGCACCAGCTTCACGAGAGGAGGAGTGGGCAGGTCAATAGCCTTCATTCAAACACCGTCACTCAAGGGCTTCCCTGTCCTGCCACCAAAGGGTGGGATTCTTCTTCTCTTCTTTCTGTGAAACCCAGGCTCCTGAGGCCTCTGTCTCACAAAGATGGCGGACAGAGAGGGAGACACTTGCCACATGTTCACTGATGCGTCTGAAGTCCAGGTACACAAGGTCAGGAAGGTGGGCATAGATGAACATCCTGTAATCCTCTGCCTGAGTAATGGGGTTCCCTGAGAGGCTGAGTGTCCGCAGGCACTTGAACTGCCGCAGGTAGACGATCTGGGGAGAATCAGGGAAAAGACTTGTTTTCTAGCAATTGCAGAGCTGAAAGCGCACATATAGCATCTGTCTTCAGTGCTCTACTGGAGCTTCCAGCTGGTCAGGGTACCTTTCAAGAGTACAGGCAAGAGGTGGGGCTTCCAAACCAGACAGCTATACTGAGACCTTCCATCAGCTGAGGCCTTCCAACAGACCTAGGCTTTCCAAAGACTCAGTCAACCAATTTTCAATGCTAGCTGCAGACTTTGGACAAGTTACCTAACATCTAGGAGCCTCAATTTCCTCATCTGTAAAGTGGGTATAAGTATACCATGTATGTTACAGGTGATGTAAAGACCAAATGAAGTAAGTTCTGAAAGACATTCAGAACAGTCCCCAATAGCCAGGCATCCCAGGTCCCAAGGCAGGAGGAGGACCTCAAGTTTGAATCTAGCCTGGGTCACTTAGCAAGACCCTCCCTCAAAAATAAAAATTTAAAAAGAGCTGGGTCCCAGGTTCAATTCTTAGTAACACACACACATGCATAAAAATAAAGGATATCTGGGCATAGTGACGCACATTTGTAATCCCAGCACTCGGGAGGCTGAGGCAGGGGGATTGCTGTGAGTTCGAGTCCACCCTGGGCTACACAATGAGTTCCAGGTCAGTCTCAACCACATAGTGAGACCCCTGTCTCAAAAAACAACAAAAAAAAAACAACAAAAAAAAAGAAGGATAATTATAGTTGTTGCTGCTCTTACTATTATTATTATTATTATATTATTATTAGCTCAGAATAGCTATGCCTTTTTGCCCACTTTTAGAAAGGTGCAAATCTCTCTTTTTTTGTTTTTTGTTTTTGAGACAGGGTCTCACTATGTAGTTGAGACTGACCTGGAACTCATGTAGCCCAGGGTGGTCTTGAACTCACAGCGATCCTCCTGCCTCAGCCTCCTGAGGTGCAAATCTCTTAAATTAAATGAAACTAATGTATGGCTAACTTTGTATTCACTGGATAATAGCGAGTGGAATTTTCCACTCGCTATTGTTTGTTCTTCCTATACTGAAGTTTTAGTAAAATGAGAAAAAGTCGAGCACATAGTTAATACTTCATGTTATAGCATTGTTTGAGTACCTTGTCACAGTGCTGTGCAAGGCTGAGGAGGAACTGCATGTGCTTTTCTAAACATATTTCTTTCAGTCATTTTTTAAAAAATGTGTCCAACAAACCTTACTAAGTACCTAATAGGTTTCAGGTAGGTGGTTGGCTTTGGGAATAGAGCCAGGAATGTGGCCCATGGGTCCTTGCCCTAACAATCTAACAGCAAGAGTTTACACTCTAGGGGTGGCAAAAATGTTTTTTAAAATAAAATGATTACAGTTCAGGGTATGTGCTGTAAAGAATGCAAAGATGGCACAGTGAGAGAAAATAATAGAGGCCTTATTCAGCTAGGGGGCTCAGAGGTCTCACAGGGGGTGGTATTTAACCTGAGACCTCCGGGAGTCAACCACGGCAGAGCAGGCAAAGCATATCCCCAGGGCTAACACAGTGCAGGCAAAGGCACTGAGACACAAGGGAACTTGGCAGTTACCAGGAACTGAACTAAGGCCATGTGGCTGCAGAATGATGGGGAGGGTGCTGTAAAATAGATATGAAATGGGGCCGGGGATTTAGCTCAGTGATGCTGCTGACTGCCTCACAAGCACAAGGTCCTGAGTTCGATCCTCAGTACCCAAAGCGGGGCGTGGATATGAAATGATACTGGAGACAAAGTCAGGGGCATGTTGGTGAGCACAGAGTTTGGATTTTTTCCCCAAGGACAATAAAGCCATTGGAATCTTAAGTGTCTATGAGGGAGACAGGATCTGGTTTTATTTTTTTGTTTTGTTTTGTTTTGTTTTTTTGAGACAGGGTCTCACTATGTAGTTGAGATTGACCTAGAACTCACTACATAGTTCAGGCTGGTCTCAAACTCACAGCGATCCTCCTGCCTGAGCCTCCCAAGTGCTGGGATTATAGGCATGTGCCACCACGCCCAGCCATGGTTTAATTTTTAAGAGATGCCCCAAATGAGACTCTAGTTTTCATCTTTTAGATGTGCAAAGACAAAAGTTTGATAACAAAATGTTTTGTGGAAGGTGAGAGAAACAGACTGCCCCATCAGTGCTGGCAAATCTATAAACAGTTTTATTTGTAAAGTGGGGAATTTGGCTAAGATCTATTAAAATTAAAAATACCCATGCCCTTTGACCTGGCAATTCCCCTCTATGAGTTTATCTTATGCATGGATTAGTCCAGGTGAAAGTAACCCTGTTCGAGAACATCCCCTATTCAAGGACATTCACTACAGCCTGTGTGTAATGGCACCAGGTTAGAACTAACCTTGATATCTACCTTTAGGGAAATGGAAAATATGTCATGCAGTGTCTGAGCAATGGTACAGCAGGGAAGGGGGACTGATGACTCAACAGAGTGGGGGCAACTAAAGGCAGGTAGATGGTCATGAATAATTCTTAGATACCAGGCACCTGGAGAAACACAGAGTCAATTTAGAAACAGCTGTGTCCTGGGAGACAGAAGCAAGGACCAAGGCCAGGAGTGAGAGGACTTGTCCTGTGTGCCCTGAGTTCTGCTTCAAAGTCTGTGTTTTTAATGCAATGAGCAGGACTTAAGCCTTGGAAGTAAATAAAGGATAAGAGAGCATGTAATTAGATGTCAGATATGCAGGAAAGATAAGAACTAAAAGCAAAGATGCTGGTGTTAGAAGCTAATACCTGAGAAGTGTCTGTCAGGATGTCCTAGGTCAAGTCCCAAAGAGGGCTGGTGCTGGAGTAATTGAAGAGGATCCTGGATCCCTAGAGTCCCCAGGATACAGTCAGGATTTGAGAACATCTGGCCCAGATACCTCAGCACTCCCTGGAAGCCTCTCCCCTGGGGCTTCTGTCTGCCTCTTTTTCTCTAGGGACTTGCTATATGGATATCTCGAATATTCATGTAAAGCTATGTGGTACCCACTGGACACAGATGATGGGATTTTTCCTGCCCAGGCCTTGCAGAGGCAGGATGGGAAGGCATCCAAGACTAAGGGGTTGAGGCCAGAGCATGACCATCTCCGTGTCCTTTCATGTCCAGGTCTGGGCCTTTGGAGGGACAGGGCCTTGGCTCTAGTAAACTCTCCAAGCCTGAGGGATAACAAATCAGAGAGGATTCATTCACACAGAGCCTGGGGTATAGGATACACCAAGGCAGATCCATCTGTAAATAAATGATCATAGGAAGTTTAAAGCAGCAAGATGGGGAAATGAAGGTGTGGCTCAGTGGCAGAGTGCTGGTCTAGCATGTGGCAGTCCCTAGGTTCATCCTCAGCAAAGGGAAAAAAATGGTTTTGGCTTTATCTCCAAATTAGAATCACTTCTGTGTACCTACTATGCGCCAGGTCCTTTGTTAAGCACCTAACACTCTCTGGTTGATTCAATCTTCACAACTACCCCATGAGGTAAAAACTGCCACCAATGTCATGTTGTTACAGATATGCAAATGGGCACACCGAACCCTAAGTCACCAGGCCCAAGGACATATAGCTGGTAGGTGGCAGGGCTGAGATTTGAACACAGGCTGACTAAATCTTAGCTCTGATGTTATTAGCCTTCCTTCCCACCCTATGTATGCCTCACTCAGCCAGACTCAATTTTTTTCATCCCAACAAAGCAGAAGCAGGCTAGACAGTCTACATGTCAAAGTAGAAGGGTGCTAGTGGATTTAAATCTCTGTCTGGTGTGCAGGGCAGACTTCTGAGTCTATATCAGCTCTAGGATTTGGACACATACTTGGCCATCCACCTAAGCCACCAGCCTGGTCATGTTCTAGCCAGGATACTGGGCTGAGGGTATATGGAGAGCCTAAAATGTCCTGATTGGACTAAACCTTACTGGGGGGAAGAGTTCTTACTTTCTCTGTCTTGCTAGATAGAAACATGGAATATGGTTTAGGGCTGGAGATGTAGCTCAGTGGCACTGAGCCTGCCTTGTAAGTGTAAGGTCCTGAGTTCAATCCCTGATACTGAAATGAAAAGAAAAAGAAACATGGAAACCTGTAACCTTGACTGCAAGGGGAAACAACCTTGGACAGATACTGAGGCTGGCAGAACCCAGAAGTGGAAAGAACCTGTGTCCTTGAAGCCCCATTGACAAGCTGCCTCTCTCTCCAGTGCCAATAACGAGGCCACTAAATGCTGTTGTTTACAACTGGTGCTTGGCAGATCTCTGACTTTAGCTGCCACTGTGACAGACTATTGCTGACAGTGCCCAGCTCATCACTGGCTTTCTGTGTCACAGAGGTCTCTGACACTCAGAGGCCCAGTGGGCCCAGAAGCCAGGTGGGGAGGGAGCTAATTCCCTTGGGCTGACACCAGCTATTGAGGGATAGGACTTTCAACCAGTGCCTGGGGCTCTGACCCTCATAGGGTTGCTTCTGGGAAGCATTCTGGATATTTCTGAGGTCCAGAAGAATCACCTCTGAGCTCCCATCACCTGCAGAGGCAACCTCAGTGACACCCATATATTAGTTCTTCTCTTCCTCCCTCACTCCCTCCACCTCCCTGAAGTCACCTCTCAAACAAACCACCTGCTCCAACATCCCTGTCTCACCTCGGCTTCCAGCCAGTTGAAGTTAAGCTTTTCTGATATTTGCAGGTCAAGCATCCTTTCTGGAGACACCATCCTAGGCCCCACTCATGCAGCCTCTACCCCTCCAAGTTCACCCTCATGGTGGTGGGTTCCTTGCTAACGTAGATCTGCCCTGAACATACCATAACACAAAGCCAGCTGGATCTCAATGTTTCTCTGAATATCCCTGGCCACAGCAAGCTCAGTTTCCAGGCTGAGCCCCAGTCTGCGCACACCCTGGACTTCTCAGGACCTTGAACCCCTCCATGGTGCTATAAAGTGGGCTTTCCTAGATAACCTCTGGGCCTTTGCTTATGCTACTCTCGCCTCCTGAGAATCTTTCTTCTGCTCGATGGAAAATTCTCATCATCTCTTAGTGAGTCTGAAGCAAGTCACCTCTTGTTGCCTGACATTCTTCCAGGAAGAATGTCACTATGACAGGCCCTCTGCTTGTTAAGAACCTGCTCTAGCCCAACTCTGAACCAAGTATTTTATGTTCAGTATCTCATTTGATACTTGTGATAGCCTGAACAGGTGGGATATTTACTCTGTCCATGTGACAGGCAAGGAAAATGAGTCACGGGGCACTAACATGTCACTTAGATGTCAATCCTCCAGAAAGCAGGTGAAATTCTAATACTGCACTGTCTAGGGGTTGGGGGTTAAGCTCAGTGGTGCAGATGCCTGATATGAGTCACGGGGCACTAACATGTCACTTAGATGTCAATCCTCCAGAAAGCAGGTGAAATTCTAATACTGCACTGTCTAGGGGTTGGGGGTTAAGCTCAGTGGTGCAGATGCCTGACCAGCAAGTGTAAGGTCCCGAGTTCCATCCCCAGTACAAAAAAAAAAAAAAAAAAGAAGAAGAAGAAGAAGAACCTACCTGCCTTTACACTGCCTCTAGGGTTTGACCTTGCTGAACAGACTCAAACAGTGATGATAACTTGACACATGACCCACCCAGGCTGCTCATCTAACCTGCTCTGGCATGCAGCTGGGTTGTAATCCAGTTCATCAGACTGACCTAAGCAACAAAGGGGTCTTGAAAGGATGCTGGACAGCACCAAGACTGGTAGGCAGGCTGGAGAAGCAGACCACCAGGGCTATCTAATAAGCCCGGGGTGACCTGACACAGAACCCTCATGGCCCACTGCTGTGGGGTGAGGGCAGAAGCTCACCTTTCCCCAAGATGACCAATGTCCACAGTCACATAGACAAATCCCTGGTACCTGGGATGCCTTCCTTCCCTCTGTGGGTCTTGCCTTACTGTTCCTCAGGCCACTAGCTTCCTGCTGCCTGTGTCTGTGGTGTCGGCTGCTTACCTCAAAGGAACCATACATTGTCCATACATTGACCATACACTATCTACTGAGTACAAGACAAACGCCTCACATCCAACAGGTCCTCACCTCAGCAAATACTTGCTAAATGAGCATGACGTGCAGGGAAAGAAAGGGACCCTACCAAAACTTAGGTTGCAAATTGGCATCCAGAGGGGAGTTTTGTAGGTTTAAGCATTGCATTTAGATATTATTATCCCTCCCGTGGAATAATCTTGATGTCTCCATTTCCAGGCAAAGGGGTAGACCAGGAACCCTCAGCTTGCAATTCCCATGCTCCAGACTCCCACCCTGACCCCCGCATGAGTCCCAAGGCCGAGCTACTCACATTCATCATGTCGTCGATCTGGTTGTTGCCCAGTGACAGGACCTGCAGCTTGACCAGTGCATCTAGAGAGTCAATCTTGGAGATTCTATTGTTGAACAAACTCAGGTCCTCCAAGTTGACCAGGGTATCTAGCCCCTCAATAACTGTGATGTTGTTGAAGGACAGATCTGGGAAGGGAAGAGTGCTCTGAAGATGTGCTGTCTGGGCCAGGGGAGGGACTGTCCTGAAATAAAACCATCAGGGCTACCATGTGCTGTGTGATTTAGCACCAATTTAGGGGCCAAGGACTGACCTGCTGTTCAACAGCTTGTGATTTCTAGAACCCTGGTGTGATTCTTTCCTGTAGCCTTAGATGTCCCCTTCTCCCCAGTTCTGCCACTCATCCCCTGGACTGGGACACCTTGATGCTCTGTCACAGTGCCGAGACAAAAACACTGACAGGTAGGTCTAAAGGAGTAAGCCCTGGGGTCAGGGGCAGACAGTTATGGGGTGGCCCTTCCCCGTGTGTGTGTGTTTGTGTGTGTGTGTGTGTGTGTGTGTGTGTGTGTGTGTTACCAGGGAATGAACTCAAGACCTTTGCACTGAGCTACAACCCTAGTTCTTTTTTATTTTGAGATAGAGTCCTACCAAGTCATTAAGCAGCCCAGGCTGTGCTCGGATTTATGATCCTTCTACCTCAGCCCCAGAGTAGTGGGATTTCAGGAATGTATCGCCATGCCCAGCTAATACCAGTGGGTATTTTCAGTAGACTGCTTCCCATCTGCTTAGCATTTACCTGTTTATCAAGTGCTCGTGTGCACATCCTCTGGCAACAGCCCTGAGGGGTAGTATGGAATTTTTCCTCCCTAAGGGATTGGTCAGGAAGGAGAAATACTGTTTAAGGAGGGACCAATGGCCAGAATCAAGTCACTCCCTGGGTGAATGAGCAAACGTTGGGCTTTTGTGGGGATGCATGGCTGAGAGATAGGTAGGCCTGGTAGCTCCTGTGAAAGGTTGACCCTGGCACCTTCAGTATTGTCAGGGACACTGTCTTCACCTCCCCGCAGAGAGATGCAGATCTTTCAGCTGGGAATCAGGTTTCATGGGGGGCCGGCATACAGTGAGGGGTACCTGGGTTGGGGACCTAGGCTGAAGACTCCGAAGACCTGGCTGTGTGTATGACCCCATCAAGCTGTTCAGCCTCTCTGAGCCTCATTTGGCTGTATCTGTGAAATGGCAGCATGACCCTGCCTGTGGGGTCCCTGTGGCTGCTAAGGGTCAGCACAAACACAGCTGAGAGTGTTTGGCAGGTTGGGAGGTGCTCTGATGCCCCGGTTGCCCTCGTTATTAGGAAGCAGCCTGGCAGGGTGAAAGAAGCATGAACTTTGGGGTTGGCTGTATAGCTTCAGGAAAGTGCCCTGACCTCTCTGAGCTTTGGTTCCTCTATTATAGGTTGCAATTATAACAAACACCAATGTTAACATTGTTATTGGGCTAAAAGACAAAGTGTCTGAAGAGCTTTCAGAATAAGAGCTCTTATTCTCTTCTCCCTATTCTCACTGCCCTTCACCAAATATGAGGGGCTTCTAAGAAATCAGCAGACAGACGCAGTTCATCAAAACCTTTGGCTTTGGCAGTAAGGGCCAGAGCTCTAGGGTCAGAGCCAAGCTGGGAGTCTGATGTTGCCACTTCGTCTCTGCGACCTAGGTTTTCTCAATTTCACGATGGGGTTGCAGTGGGAACAGAAAGGCCTCACTCATGGAAAACATGCAGGTCCACACTTAGTGTGTTGTTGAGTGTTTAATGCACACAGCTTTTGCCATGGTCACTGTTGGTTTGATCTGGACCCCACTGGATAACAAGTTATCTGTCCACCTGTGTCTGGATTAAACAGCAGTTCTCCTTGTGCCTCACCCAGACTGAGAGAATGGGCAGGTAGAAGCAGAACATTCTGTCCTGATGTCTAACACATCTTTTGTTGTGCTTTGGCCACCGTAAGCCTCAGGATTTTCTTTTTTTTGCTTCTAGAAGACAGAGCTTCTGCTGTGCCTGGGTTAATGACAGGCTGGTAGCTGAGTGTCATGCATGATTACTGTCCTTGGGGAGGCGACAACCTTGGCAGGGTGTCACCTTTGATTAGGGTGGACATACACAGAGGCCAGGGCCTTACCCAGCCAGACCAGCTGCGTGAGGTTCTCCAGGCCCTCGATCCTCTCAATGATGTTGTTGTCCAGCTGCAGCTTCTTCAGGTTCTCAAACTGCCAGAGGTTGTCTATGCGGAGGATGTCTGCAACAGCCCAGGGGTCAGGCTCAAGTCAAGGGACCAAGACGAATTAGAGTTGGACAGAGAAAGACCCTGCCACTCCCCTCCCCTCCCCTGGGGTAAGTGGGTGGGCTGAGCATTGATGAGCACTGTGTCCCTATTAGTGTATAATGTCAGTGGGGATCAGTGCTGTCACCCAGAGCTATAGGAGGACTTAAGAGGTCCATTGGTGGAAAGGTTTGGGAGTGGTGTGGGAGGTGAGCTGGACCTGTCCAGGGTAGGAGACTCACTCACTTTGCCTCTGGTGTCAGGCTGAGTGGCTCCAAGAGGCTGGTCCACCTTGAAAAATAGGCTACTAGATGGGGCTAGCCTTTTGCAACATGACAAATAAAACTGAGGTATGCAGCTCTATTGGCAGGAAGGTTAGTCAACTAGTTCAAGCTTTTGGAAGGTCATTTTGCCAAATTTACTGAAATATTTAATGTCTTTGTTGCTGTTGTTTTGTTATTTTTTGGTACTGAGGATCAAACTTGGGACCTTATGCTTGGGAGGCAGGCGGCAGCACCACTGAGCTAAATACCTGGCCCATGCCTGTGTCCTTTGATCTGTAGTTTTCTTGGAGTGTCTCCAAAGACACAGCTAAGAAATACCTAGCGGCGCATATACAAATGGTATAAATCACTATACAACAGAGCATGCACGTCATGGAAATGGTAGGACCCCACAGTCCCTGAGGCCCATCCACCCCAGCTCCACAGCCACCCAACCCCTTCATTCATCAGCCAGTCAGGGTTTGACTTCTATCACTGGCAGCCAGAAGAGTCCTGAATAACACACTAACAATTGATACTGCAAGTGTAAAATTCTGAAGGCTAACCCAGTGTCCCAGATCCTCCCAGAAACCACAGAGAGTTCTATTGTTTATATACCCACTTTATTCTGTATTTCCTTTTATAGTGATTTCCAAAACTTACACAATTAGAATGCTTAAAGAAGTAGAATAATATAGACATGAAGGGGTTTAAAAAAGTATCATTAAGAGGGTTGAAGGTGTAGCTCGGTGATAGAGAACTTGCCGAGTAATATGAGAAGCCTTGGTTCCACACCCAGTACTGCCAAAAAACCAAACCAAAACAAAAAAAAGCAAGGACTATGGACAAGCACACATTTGGAATTGCAGTTTCAATATTCATTCAGAGTCAGGGCCCAACTAGTGAGATTGTGAAAATTCGGGTGTGGGGAAAGGTACCATTCTCAACCCTCTTCCTGTGGCTGGGTCTTCTAACCTAGGGCCCTGAGATCCCATTGCTCTGTGTGCCTAGAGCTGGACTGCTCCCCGCTCCCTCCATGGGTCCCCAGGGCTGGGTGGCACTGGAATCTGTTCCCTAGCTCCCTGACTGTGGCCAGATTTCCCACACTGATACCTTTCCCTACTCTCCTCCCCACTCTGGGCAGAGCCCAGGCTTGCTGCAGGTTCCCAGACACCTCCCATGCCTAGCTGGATTTTCTAGACACCTGCTGTGGCTCTGATCTCTGACTGACAGCACCCTGCCCACACTTTGCCCTTGGCTGTGGGAGCTCCCTGCAATCTGCTGGTAGCTCCTGTACACCTGGTGCTCTGCCACACTCACCTGCATGCCAGTGGCATCTGTGGAAAAATCAAACAGCAAAACAAACCATGAAGCATTTGGCAGTTAGCTCCAAATGAGTTACCAGCATGGCAGGACTGACAAAAAAGCCAACTTAATCCTGAATACTGACAGCAAATCTACCTCTGGCCAGCATCCTGGCCCAAGCCAATGGTGTCATTCCCTGGACCACAGCAGCAGCCATCTCACTAGATTCCTGCATCAGCCCTGACCCTATAGCAGGAGGTGTCCTATGAGAACTCAAGTCCCATCCTGACCTGCTTTTGCTCAGGACGCTCTCGGGGTTCCACCTCACACACTATGAAAGCCAAGCACCTTCCATAGGCCCCACGGTAGATGCCAGCTGACCACAATGAGACTTCTCTGACCTATCTCCACAGTGGCCTCCACAGCAGGCCTCATCAGGCTATCCCTGGCCTGCCTCAGGACTTTGGTCCTGGCTACTAATGCTGCCTCATACACTTTCCCTGGTGGATCTCCATGTGGGGCCCTCCCTTACCTCCCCCAAGGCTTTGTTTGATTGTTACCTTCTTGGTGAGGGCTCTGGCCACCCTAGAAAACACTGCACCCCACCCTAGTTTTCCTTCTTTGCTTCATTTTGCCCCATAGCACATATTACCTTTAACATGCAGTATATTTTCCTTCTGTATTTGCCTCCTCTACTTGAATGTGAACTCCATGAAGACAGGGTCCTTTGACTTTTGGGCTCACAGTTGAATCCTAGTACCCAGAACAGGACCTGGCATATAATAGGGACTTACTTGCTCAGTATTGGCTAAATGAACCTCAGATGGAGGTGCAGGAAGCAAAAGAAAAGTAGTCAAGGGCTGAAGTCCCATCCTGTGGCCACTGTATGCATCCTTTCTTCCTCTCAGGGCTGAGGTCTGCAGCTCAGGGCCCTTCTTGCTCTGGGAGATCAGCCCTAGATACCATGGTCTGGGAGGCTTCTGACCTATGTGAGGCTGGCCTACGCTGGGCTCCTCTTGCCAGCTGCTGATCCTCAGGGTCTGGCAGAGGGCCCAACTGAGGCAAGTCTGAATAACTCCTTTTTTTGGCCAGATGCCTAGCCAACCTACAGCCCAAGACAGAGCAGGAATGTGAGTCCCACTGGTTCACTCTGCTGTGGCCTCACCTGCACAGTACACAGGGGTATCAGGAATCTTTCTTCCTCTATGACTTGCTGGCTTCACAGCATGAGCCAGGTACATGTTTTCACTTGTCCTCCTAAGCAGTGCTTGATGCAGAGACTACAGGCATCTCCTTTCATAGCTGTGTTTCCCTGAAAATAAGACCTAAGAGGAAATAATCAGCCCTAGAAACTAGAGATAAAAAATGCCAGATCCAAACACCTTGCCTTAACTGCCATTACAAAGCAGCCACCAAGCAAGAGAATAGTGACGTATAATCTGCGTGACACTGGCTATCATCATGGTAATGACCAGAGCTTATTTTCCAGTTAGGTCTTAATTTCAGGGAAACATGGTAGATAAGGACACTGAGGCAGTAAGGTCCTGCCTGGTCCTCAGCCACCGCTTACCACTAGGCTGTCCTGCCACTCCTGAGTGCCTCCCTGCCTCAGGACCCTGTGCCCCTTTTTGGTTACCCCTTCCCCCAAAGCTGCTTCCAGAGTGCTGGCTCCCCCAGCCTCTCATTCTATTTCAGTATCGGTTATGCGGGGGTTCCTATGTCCTAGGCTTGCCTGTTCCAAGGATAGTACTGTCAAATTATGTGATGGAAACAGCATGGTCTTGTGAGAGCTCACTTAGATTTGGAGAGGGACAACTCTTATCTTTTTTCTGTTCTCATTCGGAATCCAGAAGTGTTGTGGACAAATGTCAGCAACACTAAGTGTGAAGTTTTAAAAGGATCCAGTTGCTCTTACGCCTTAGGGCCCAACGTCCCTCATGCTGATGGGAGTCCCTTGACCAAAAGACTTTGTGCAGAATTTGGGGGCATAAAGGGGAGGGCAAAGAAAGCGAGGGTGCCCAGCTGGTGCCCCCATCCCACCCCCAGGCCACTGTCCAGATACGCACTCTGGAAGTCCAGCTGCAGAGACAGGACATCTTTAAAGAGGATGCCTTCCTGCTTGGCCAGCTGCCCAGCCTCCTCCTGCGGACCCTGCTCCCCCACAGCCAGCTTGAGCATATCGTTGTCCATCACTCTCGGCTCCACTGAGTCATAGATCCGGTTCATCTTCCCTAGAAAAACCACATTCCTCTCTTATAGCCATGTTGTTCTTGGTTTGAGGACAAAGTCTGGCTGAGGCCTCTTCTTAAGGGTCATGGACCGCTATGGTGGCCCGAACACCCTGAAGGCTTCTCACTCCTCACCCTCAGCCTGATGAACCTTGGGGTTAATACATTTGTATTAAGACTGGTCGGGGGTTTTTCTGCAACCACAGGCGCCCCTCCATAGAAGTTCCATAGACGTTCAGAAGTGCAGCAGGGGCCCCACCTGGCCCACTGTACTGGTGTCCATTCTGGGTCCCCTGTGGATCTCACGGCTCCTGAGGTTTGTGGCCCTGTGCCAGGCCTCTGTGTTTCCATGTTTCTGCACATCATGAAGGTCACCAACAACTGACCATGCCCTTGGCAGCCCCAGCCAGGTGCACCAGCCTGCAGGCGCCTTCTGAGAGTGCCTCACCCCTGAAGGCAAGTCATGTGTGTGTTGCCCTCAGTGTGTAGGTGTGCACTGAGCCATAGTGGCCATTCAAACTGTCCCTATGAGCAGCAGGAACTTGGGACCATGGAATGAGAATGCTCATCAGAGCTGGTGGCTTGACTGGGAAGGAAACAGGGAGGGGTGTGTGATTAAGCAGAGAGAGCAAGAGGGGGATGCAGGAGCTATACAGGGAGAAGCAGATCCAGAAAAGAAAGACAAAGGCAGGCAGGCAGAGACAGATGCTGCCTTCTTTTTGCTGGCTCTCTAGTCCCTAAGGTTCCTAAATCTAGGCCTCACCCAAATTTCTGTGCTCTCTTCTGTGAGTGTTTTTCTGATTTCTCACATTAGTTTCTCTTTAATTTAAGCTAATTCTGGTAGGTTTCCATTGCTAAGGGTCCAAAGGGATCTGGGTGAAACACTGCAGGTAAGGAGGTAATCTGTGGAATGCATCAGTCACACTGTGAGACTAACCGTGAACTGTTATTTCTGACTTGACAGGGTCAGAGCCCTGAGAAGCTGGGCATTCCAGCCTCATTCTCATCATAACAACCCTATGGAAGAGAACATCCAAATAGCTGGGCCCTATAGGATGCCATATTTTCAATCTACTGGGACTCTGCCTCTTGAGGCCTCTAGAGGTTCAGTCCTCCATTCTAACTCCACCTGCTTCTCACCTTCCTTCTGGCCTTACCTCTCACCTTTGGCCACATACCTGCCCAGCATTCAGACCGCCCTGGACCTTTTGTTCTTCCCACCCTGATGCCAGGCAGATCCTGCCCTCTACCTTTAATTTCACTGAACGCTGCCAGAGACTCCTATTGGGCGGATGACATCCACCATGAACACAGGTTGGGCTGGACAGTCAATTATCTGGTTTTAGAGGCTTCCCTCTAAGACTACTCTCCCTCCTTCCTCCCACTGTCCACTTAGATGCAGCTTATACAAATACACGTGCTCCATTCTGCAGCTGTTCCTGATCAAATGTCCCAATGCTTTTAACTCTTGTGCACCTTTCCTTTCTGTCCCCATGTAGCTATCTCTCCCTGCCATCTCCCTCTCCATATGGGCCTTCCATCTTTCAAGACCAAGGCCGTCTCTTCCCCCTCTCTCCACACTGTATCTTCTTAGGGTGATCCAATGACAATTCCAGCCCTCACCAGCTTCCTACTCTTCTAAAATAATTTTTCCTAGGCTTCCCATAACTTGCTACCAACTTACCTCTAGAGGAATTTTAATGTATTTTATTTGACAGACACTATCTGCAAAGCATATTGGGCTTTTATCTTTTTAAAAGGTAATATACTTTTGGAAATTACTCTTAATTCTGATTTCAAAACTTTGCCTTCTCATTCCTCCCCATTCATGAAGGCCTGGTAACTATGACAGATCAAGTTGGCAATCAGTCAAGCCAGGAAAACGCTAGGCAATGAGGGACTGTTGCCACGCACATTATCTGTTAAGTATACCAAGGCAGGATTTTTTATTCTGACTATGTACCTTTTGGCAACTCATTCCATCTGTCTAAACCTTTGCTTCCCCATCCATAATAGGTTGATAATTCTTCTCTTATATTTTTGTAAGATCACATAGTAACTCCACTCATATATATTCAATACTATATGCCATGAATAACAGATAAGTGTCCTTATTTCTGTTTCAGGCAATAATTGAACAATCATACAAATATTTAGTTACAAACCAAGACAAGTTTCTAGGTGAAGGGAATTACAAAAGCATACGTTAAAGTACCTGGCCTGGCCAGAGAAGGCAAGGCTGAGATCTAAAGAATCAAAGGGAAAGAACAGACAGGAAACTTCATAGTGAGGACCCTGCGGTGAGAGGGCACGGTCCACTTTTGCCTAAGTGATGCATACCTGGAGATGCAGGACTTGTATTATTATCATCCTAGGATCTCTGTAGGGTTTAATAAGGGCAGTGATATGATCAGATTTCAAGGTTCAAAAGCTCATTCTAGCTGTAGTACTGTGTATTGCAAGTGGGGGAGAAGAGAGATGACACGGGGTAAGATATGGATGTGAGAAATCTCTAGGAACTTAATTTATATGTAGGACTAATTATCCCAATTTCTAGAGAACAAAACAGAAGCTAGTTAGAAAGGTTAATTAACACACCCAAATTTACACACCTAGTAAGTGGCAGAACCTGCTTTTCTAATCATGACTCCACCCAGGATACTAGGAACAATCATTGTCGCAGCTCATAATGTTTCTCACATTGCTCTGGGTCAGGGACAAGGCCTAGGTAGTCTTCCTCTAAGGGGACTTTATTAGAAATTTACCACCATAACTGGATCCCCGTGGACTTGCCTGATGACAGCATTGTTGGTGAAGACTTGTGGCAGAGATGGGGAAGCAGCACACACCTATCAGTCAAGTAGCCTCTTCACCGAGAACAGATCTGTATTTCCCTAGGAAACAACCATCTGGTTAATTGGATCTGAAAAATAGAGACCCTACTGGGCATAAATTAAGAAGAAAGATCAACCACTTACTGTGTGCAGTAAGTGCACATGCCTTATTTAATTACACATTAGCTCTGAAGCTGGTTATGATTTAGATCTAAAATGTCCCCCAAAAGTCTCACATGTCTGGAAGGTGACTGGATCGTGAGAGTGCTATACTCATTAGCTGAGTGCGCTATTAGAAGGCGAGATCTGGTCAGAAAAAGCAGATCACTTGGGGCTTGACCTAGAAGAAATTTTTTATTCTTGTCCCCAGCTCCTCCCTACTCTGCATTCTGACCACCAGGGAGTGAGCATCTTTCCTTCTCTTGGGCCTTTTACAATGTCGGTTTTGCCTTAGGGCCAGCCACCCATGGGCTGAATCCTCTGAAATTGTAAGCCAAAATAAACCTCTCCTTCTTTAAATTGGGAGTGTAGGGCATTTTGCCTCAAAAACAAGAAAATAACCGGTGCAAAGGCATTAAAGAAGAGATTCCTAATGCCTTTATTTCCCAGATAGGGAAACTGAGACCTCAAATGAGTAACTGACAAAGACAGACGTAGAATCCGAGTATTCATATTCCCATCCAAATCACTTTTTACAACACCAAATGAAATAACGAGAGTTAAGAGGTTAGATATGAGAGCTAAATTCTGGAAGGGGAACCTATCTTTCTATGAAAGGGTTCCAACAGGAGGCTGTGGGGATAGAATCCTTTCTGGCCCATTTCCTAAAGAAATGCTCTCTTAGCGGTTTTCTCCTACAAAAACTGCAAAAGTCCAAGACTAAAGTGTCTTAGCTGTCTCAGTACGACTGTAAAGTAGCTGGCGGGGTATATTTGAGCTCATTTTACATATGAGAAGGGCTGAGCCGGAATCTTCAGGGAAAAGGGTCGGTCAGGAAAGAGTCAGATGCTCTCTGCCTCTTGCAAGTCCTTTTGGAGCCTCAACTCCCGCGTCTCACCTTCTCAAGCACTAGTAACTGGGCTGATTCTCCGCAGCGAAGACGTCTCCTCTCTGTTGCTGGGGAACCAAGTGCCGCCACTCGGTTGCTAAGGGGAAGTCTGGAGAAAGACATCCTGGGTGAAAGTTGACTGACCACGTGACCACATCTTGAGTTGGTGAAATACTCCAAACACCAACCAGCCGAAGAGAAAACAAACGTTTCTCCAATCATCACTTTGTATGGGCCGGCAACTTCTTAGATACGCCTTCTTTCCGCTCACTGTTTAAGCGATTGACTCGTCTTTTGTCCAGTAATAATAAGGCATCTCTAAATAGACTAACATCCAGATGAATCAAAATGCACATCCTCTTTCCTGAGGCGGGCCAGGGGAGGTACCGCTACGATTGACGGGGACTCCGGCGACCTAGCTCCCTCCTAGGCCCAATCGGACGTCGCGAGGTGGGTGGGGCTTCGTTGCAAGAGGTGTAAAGACCAATCGGAGAAGAGCTATGTAGGCGTGGCCCAATAGAGACTGGACCGAGGGCGGAGTCAAGGGCCCGGCGCTTGGCGTTCCTGAGGGTGGGGCGGGGGCAAGAGTCAGTCAGGTCGGGAGCGGCTGGGTACATCTGAGACCGCGGCGCAGCCAGGGTGTCCCGGCTGCTTCAGCGTGGTTCGCCCAAGATGGAATTTCTCCTGGGGAACCCGTTTAGCACCCCTGTGGGGCAGTGTCTCGGTAAGGCTGCTCGTGGGGCGGACGAACGGGTGGGAGGCAGCGACGGGTGACCAGGCTGGTGAGGACAGCGGCCCACCGACGCCTGTGCCACCTCACAGACAGCCCGGTCATCCTTGTAGTCGATCCCTGCTTGACGCCGGGGCCACGTCACATGCGAGCTGGGCCTCCTCCAGGAGCCAGTGCCACCTCACCGGTGGACCTGGAGATCTTGTGGGGCCTCTGTGCCATCTCACGGTTACTGATGCCAGCATTGCGAGAAGGTGTCCCCGAGGCCCCACTTGGACTTGGAGATGCTCCTGGCCGTCCTATCCACCAGAGCTTCCTGTCTCTCCTAGAGGTGGAGCCAACTGCTGGCCTGTTTACCCCTGGCCTATTGGGAGATATCATTGCGTGCATCCTTATCCAGCCCACAAGTCTTCTGCCACTGACATCCAGACCTAGTTCTTCCAGACCCTTTGTGGGATGTCACTACCTTCTATAGTTCTCCCTATTTGGAACGAGCAGTCTTCAGACTGGGCACCTTCCCAGAAAATGCCCCCTGCTCCATGACTTGCTAATTTGAGTGATGATCTCGTGTGTGTGTGTGTGTGTGTGTGTGTGTGTGTGTGTGTGTGTGTTGCCTGCAGTGCCTTTGGGAAAGAAGGGAGGCTGTGTTGTTCAATGATAAACACACTTCTGGAACTTAGGAAACCTGAACACCAGTAGTGGCTTTACCAGTGACTCTTCCCCAGGACCTTGTGTCCCTTCTAATTTGAAGTTCTGATTGTCACAAGAGGTGCTGGAAGGTGAGATTTGGTAGGGCTTTCAAGTTTTATGGTTTTAATATACTTTGTATATTTGTATTTGTAGTTTCTGCACATTGACTATTTTTGCGTCTTCTAATTTAAATATGCCAAGCTGGACTCTTTTCCTGGCAGTATCCAGACCTATCAGTCCTATGGGGGGACTCCTTGTATCCAGAAAAGGGCACCAGTGATGAGCAGCATCCTAGATGAGGAAAGTCCAAAGCATAGGTGAAGGAACACCAAAGTGCCCACTGTTTGCAGTTTCTTTTTCTTTCTTTCTTTTTTTTTTTTTTTGTGCTAGGGATTGAACTCAGGACCTTGCACTTGTGAGGCAGGCACAGTATCACTGAGCTAAATTCCTGGCCCTGTATGGCGTTTCCTTACTAAAAGAGCAGTTTGCAGGCTGGTGATGTGATTCAGTGGTAGAATGTGTGCTTATCCTGTACCAGGCCCTGGGTTCAATTCCCAGCACTGCAGATAATGATAATAATAATATTTATAATAATGCAACTTGCCTTTTCACCCAGTTCAGGAGCTTATGCCAAATAGTCAAGAATGCTGATTAGTTTCTTTTAAAACTGGGCTCCTCCTGGTTGGTTGAAGGACTGGTAAAATGTCTTTTATGAAAAGAGACCTTTAGTGTCTTCCTGGGCCTACTGATTTAGTCAGTGGTGATTCTTTATTTCCCTCTTTGCTTATAAATTTCCAGCTTAGTTTTCAGACTTTAGTGGTAACGTAAAGTTGTTGAAACTTCTCCTGTTGGCTAACTGGCCTTTAGAAATCTCTTTCCTTTCTGGTGTAGTGTCTTTTTAAAGGGATCATAAACACTGGACCCTGAAAGTATCTTTTCCTACCTAAGTTCCCTGCTATCCACTCAAGTATCTCTCTGAAAGAGACTGTCCTTATTTTTTTTTTTTTTT